GGACAGAGCCAACTGCCGAGTCGATGCAGTCTAGGCAGAGGGCTAAATCTTCTCTCTCGTCAGAGAAGATGTAGATAAGTGACGTCACTGTGGTAGGGCCCAACTTCATAAGTTGATCAACGAGGAATGAACACCAACGCAAAACTTCAATGTAATTGAATACATATACTGATATTTTCACCTAAATACTCGTGAGTTTTGGAGTTCTTGAATTTGTACGTTATGTATTCCGAAACCGCTCGACAGAATTTCACGAAACTTGGTACATACGTGTAGAATTTCATGGAATAGGTTTATACACCAGCAATTTCGTGATCCGTCCCATCGGCTCCGCCCTAGTGGCTCTGGAGTTTCCCCATGTTAACCTTATGAGTACTTATATTTAAATGGAATTAAAGAATCTGAACAGATGTTTCAACTAAACAATTTGATTCTGTGATGTTCAATAGCGTTAAAAAGTTAATAGGTTTACCAACAGGGTGAAGCACTATAATTTTTTTAAATTTATCACAACAGCTAATTTGTACCAAGCAGAAACAAAAAGCTGTGGAATGGATGGATTTTTACAGTAATGTTTATGTAGCCAGTTAATACTAATACTGTAGTAAATTAATAAAAGTCTATCTACATACAACAGATCTAGGGAACATAATTATTGTTCTATATAGCGTTCTTAAGCTGCTTATATAAATCCCAAAGTACCCATTAACTTTTGAGAAAACTACAAGTCAAACCCACATAGATCATATGTTCGTCATGACGAGAAACCTGACTCAAAACTATCCATAATTTAATAAATTGCCCTTTAAGGTCGTAATTCCTTTCTAAAGAGAACTTTCCATACAACTAATGTTAAAAATGCCTCAATTTTATTTATTTGTTTGTTATCCTTTTAATGTATTACCTTATTAAAATAAGGTCTGATTATTTGTTTGTTTTACTCTAGTTTTATTAATACTTATAAAGTCAAACGGGGTGAAGCCTGTGGGTAACAGCTAAACCAACAAAATAGTTCAGATCCATCACATGCTTAAAACATGGCCAACCTTTACAAAACGTTTAAGATCAATCAATAAATTTACTAATAATAAACAACGGATACAAGCATATTTTATAAATAGATAGAGTATAGGTAAAACAGATCAACATTAAATATTTACCAATTTCTTAATTTAGGGCTTTAGTCATGTTATTTGTTCGGAGAAAACAGCAAACCATCAAAAGGGACTTCAACTCAGCCACAGAGCTCTATATATCTGATTCAAAGACTTGTGGTGGCCATTAGTTAACTCTAGCCAAGTGATTCAACTGGAAGGAAAACCGAGTCACGAGTCTAGATGTAATTAATTAAATCGTTCTCCAAGCTATGTATGTTTATTTACACAAGTCCATATAATACATTTATCCGATATATCTTTAAAAACACTGAAAACTGTAAAATTAAAAATCATGGGATACTTGGAATAGACATTAATAGTCATTGACAGTAAATTCATATTTTTACGGATATGTTTGCTTTTGTATGCCAACTCCTCAATTATATCTGTGATTAATATTGCAAGTTTGTTTGTTTATTTTTAAGTAACAGATACTGTTTAAAACCATACATTATTTTAATTTAAAATGTTTAGTAGCTTCAATTCAACATAAGTCTGGTTCTTCGATTAATTATTCACTTTATATTTCTTAATTATTGAAATCGTTGATAACAATCGGTAAATAACAAAACTATGTAACAGAAAAGATATTTTGAAAAAAAGAAATAAAATTTCCACAGTAAATCGTCAAGGCAACATGCTCTGTTTTATTACTTTGTCTCTCTTGGTTCAATATGAACTTCTACTTTGGACTTTTGTTTAAATAAATTGAAGTCTTACATAAGAATAAATAAGTGTTGGGTATGGATATAAAAGAAGACTGCATGATATGGACTTTTTGCTAAATAAAAACCGTAAAATGTCAACAACATTGATTAAAGTGTAGTATCTATATAAATAAAATTAGAGTTTTGTCTGTACATTGCTTAGAATAATGAACTTTTTGGTTATTTTTACATTTCATAGGTCAGAGAAACCGAATCAAACCTTATCTCAATTTCTGTCTGTCTGTCTGTCTGTCTGTCTGTCTGTCTATCTGTCATTCTCTTGGTAACGCTAAAATACGCACTTTATTACAACTACTCCTCAATAACTATAGCACTGTCCCGCCTGAAACTTATTTTCCAAATACTATACATATATGAGATGGTTTTAGACGTATTTCATCGAATATGAGACAGTTAGATATTTAACAGTAAACCCTTGAAAATCAAGTTTTTGTCGATTTTTGACGTGGAATTTCTGGAAGCCCATGTTAACCTTATGAGAAATGAAATTATTGAATCTTAACAGCTGTTTCAATTAAACAAGTTGGTTCTGTTCTGTGATGTTCAATAGCATTAAAGTTACAAGGATTACCAACAGGGTGCAGCACTAGCACTATTATTTCTTTTACATTTATGACAACAGCTAATTTGCAACCTGGAGGCGAGTGAGCGTAGCGAACGAGCTAACCTGAAGGCAAGTGAGCGTAGCGAACGAGCTAACCTGAAGGAAAGTGAGCGCAGCGAACGAGCTCCAACATACAGGTGAGTGAGCGTAGCGAACGAACTTCAACCAGGACGTGATTGAGCCATGCAAACGAGATCAGATAGTAAAAATAAAAGTAAGCCTACCGTTATAGGATCGACCGGCAGACACAGAGGTAATTTAACCTTTTATTGATTGTCATACCGATCCGGAACAACAAAAAACAACATAAAATGAAGCTATGTATAATAGTTTGGCCAGCATATCTTAAAATATGCAAACCAACTGCTGTTCTTTATATAAGAAGGTTTCAACTGAATATTATAAGATCCCCGTGCGTAGAACGGGTACACAGCTAGTAATAATATAATATTAATCTAAATGATAAAATAGTATAGTGATAATTTTTTTCACATTTTTTATCTACTAAAAAATAATATCAATCTACTTTAAAATGAAATGAAATGAAAATTGTCACTGGAATATCACAACAACAACAAATCACAAATCATGAACAAATCACAATGAAATTGTGCACTATAATATAAAATATGGATATGCAGTAATACTTTTTTCTGAAATGACTAAAGAAAAATTTGCGATCATTAGTATCATTTATCCTGTATATTGCAAATATAATTATTTATATAGACCATCAATAGTTTCAAGAAAGAGATTGGTCCAAGGCTTATTCTCAATTTTAAGTTAAAACTAATATTTAAATTAGTCGACAAAAGTGTTAGCTTAAATGAAATTAAATAAAGTTTTCACTGCGGTATATAATAAACCATAGAATTTTTATTTTTAGTTAAACTAGCAGAGCACCCGCCCTTCTTACGGGGTTGGCATGTATAAGTATAAAATGCGTATTGCAGTTATACGCACTCCAAGTCCAAGTTTATATGACTATGGCGACTAGTGCCACGTCTGTTAAAGTGTCTGCCAAGTCCAAGTCCAAGTGTGTTTGACTGTGGCGAATAGCGCCACGTCTCGTGAAGCTCCTGCTCGCTACGAGCATATACTTTTTGACTGCTGTGGGTCCAAGCCCTGGTAGCTCAGCTACCTGTAGACGTCAACGTCGTTCTGGGGGTTAGTCTCGATCTGGGGGCGGAGTCATCCTCAGCAACTAGGTCCCTGATGTGCTCAATTCCCGGAAAATCACCGCCCGATATCCCTGCTTCCCGTCTTCTCCAAGATGCTGGAGAGAGTAATCCTGGCCAGATTCCCAGAAGAGTTCTTCTGCTCCATCAGGACGGAACAGTACGGCTTCCGGCAAGGACACTCGACGACCCTCCAACTCCGTCGAGTGATCAACACCATCGCCAGTGCGCTGCAGAACAAGCACCACGCCACGTCCGTCCTGATAGACGTCAGCAAGGCCTTCGATCGAGTCTGGCACGAGGGTCTCCTCTACAAGCTCGCCTCCTCACCACTACCAGGCCGCCTCTGGAAACTGCTAAGAAGCTACCTCCACCTCCGTAGCTTCCGTGTCCGAGTCGACCAGAAGTCCTCCACTTCCAGACCCATCTCGTCCGGTGTGCCACAGGGATCAGTTCTTGGACCGATCCTGTACCTGTGGTACACGAATGACATGCCGCAAGCCCCAGAGTCCAGATGTCACTCTACGCGGATGACGCCCTGTTCACCGCCACGTCTGCCAACCTGCGGATGTCACAGATCTACATCCAGCGACAGCTGAATCTCCTTCAACCCTGGCTCAACAAGTGGAGGATCAAAGTCAATGCGGACAAGTGCGAGGCGATCTCCTTCACCAAAACCAGACGGCAGGCAGATGGACATCACCTCACCATCGATCGCCGCCCCGTCCCTTGGAAGAAGGTGGTGAAGTACCTGGGGGTACTCCTTGACCAGCGTTTGACGATGACACCAAACGTCACAAGACTCCAGACACTCACTGCCAGCACCATCAGGAGCCTCGGCCCTCTGTTCAGGGCAAGACGCCTGCCGACCAAGATGAAGCTGCACCTCTACACTGCCCTACTGCGTCCGGTGCTCACCTACGCAGCTCCGGCGTGATATCATCTAGTCTGCAGGTCGTCTCGCAGACAACTCCTGGCACTGCAAGCCAGAGCTCTCCGCAAGGCCACCGGCACTCCTCAGTACGTCCGCAGTGAGATTGTCAGGAGGTCTACTGGCATGCCCACCATCCGGGAGTACGTCGACGTCCTGACTGCGAAGATGGAGAACATCGAAGAGACCACCCCATGGCAGCACATCAGGGACATGCTGCAGCAACCAGTCCCCAGACTCCGTCCCCAGATGGCTGACTGAGCCACCACACCCCGGAATTGACAGGTAGCTGAGCTACCAGGGCAGAAGGCCCATAATCGTCCAGAAGCCATGACTTCAAAGGAAGTCGAAGCTCCTCTAGAAGTGGGAGATCTCCCACAGTCACAACACTGCTGCTTCTGGCCACCACCACCGAGCGGTTTAAAAAATGCCTCCCAAAGCTAGCGGTAAAGCTGTCAAGAAGGCCGGCAAGGCCCAGAAGAACATCACCAAGGGTGACAAGAAGAAGAAGCGCAGGAGGAAGGAGTCGTACGCAATCTACATCTACAAGGTGCTCAAGCAGGTCCACCCCGACACCGGTGTTTCCAGCAAGGCTATGTCGATCATGAACAGCTTCGTGAACGACATTTTCGAGCGCATCGCCGCCGAGGCTTCCCGTCTGGCTCACTACAACAAGCGTTCCACCATCACTTCTCGGGAGATCCAGACCGCCGTCCGTCTCCTTCTGCCCGGTGAGTTGGCCAAGCACGCTGTCAGCGAGGGTACCAAGGCTGTGACCAAGTACACAAGCTCCAAGTAAGCGTCCCCAACGCTTCAGCGTCGCCCGACTCCTCGTCGCCGAGCGCCACAAAACGGCCTTTATAAAGGCCACCAATAAACTCATTCGTTTTACACGTTAGCAGACCCTCACTTACTAGATACGTATAAGTCCGCACGTGTTTTCCTATCCTGTGCGCAGCCGTTAACTTACATCCAAACGCAATTCACCACTGGTTATTACAATGATTAGCATAGTTAATTAAGACTTTATCTTCGTAATTGTATAACAATGGTCAAGAGTGTTACATGTCACGAGTCGAGAGTATTCCTTTACTCGAGTCAACTCAACACTGTGAGATGTTAAAGTTTTAAGAATATTCTAAATCTGACGTGAGTCGGTTAATTATTATGGTAGATAAGGTCTCGATATTATAACCAATGTACCTAAAAAAAAAAGAAAAAAGAAAAAATACACGAACAGTTAAATAAAATAAAATGGATCTTAATCTGATGCGGCGTGCACTCTGGACGTACCGTAACGGAGACGAGGGAAACAATACGCCAGCGCCAGCACTAACGAAAAGGCCAGCATTAGAACGAGCGTGCGGTTTTTATTAAATAACTCGTAAACCGTGCGTTTTAGAGAGACAACACAGGTTAGATGAAATCGAGTAAAATACACGCCCAGTACGTTGACGCAATCGGATCTCGCGTATAAAAACGCGTTTTCGAGTAACGAGCGATTAAAGTTTTTCGACTAAAGCACTAATAAAACGGTCACGTGTCGTCGTAGGGGCTTTTAGCGCGTGCGAGACGTTAGAGGAGGTAAAGACGAATAGAACGACACCCTTACGGTGTGTCTGGCATCAAAGATAACCTCCCTAGTGGGGTTTGAAGTTGTGGCCATTTGGCGGCGTCGGCGAAATCCTTTGATCGAGATAGATATATATAGCTCTGGCGGAGAAATAAGGGAGTGATTTGAGTATATATGTGGGGGCGTGGCCAACTAGTGACATACTATTGGTCGATCAGAGTGACCAACAGTACGAGCGGATTCGTCTAGCGGACTCTGCCGTTTCAGTTTCGCCGTGGTTAAGTGAGATTTTGCCCGTACTGAAGTCGTAAGCATACCCCGTGTGGTAAGAGTCACACTCGGTTGGTAAACGATTTCATACCATATAACAATGTTTGACAAAATGTAAACAAAAGAATAATAACATGATGATATGTTTTAAACAATAATAAAAATCATCAGTTGGGCTAATGCGCTATCTGACTTTTGATACTAAAAATATTCATTCCATTTGACTTTGGATACAGCTGTGATTTTTGTTTTGGTTTGTAGTAATTATCATTACAGTGTTATTATTTTTATTTAATTATTTATTTATTTTAGGTGGTTCCTACTTTGACTCTTTTAAACTTTCTTCACCTTTTCATTTTAACCACGTAATTTGTGTTTTATAAATTTGAAATTTCATAGAAAATACCGTAACATTTCGTCCCACTCGCTTTTACAGTTGGCTGTATAAGCTAATGGGGTAGGTGACATTTTGGCCCGACGAAAAGAAAAAAAAAAAAAAAATACAACGGTTGTGGATTGTAGTTCAGGTAGTAAAAGGCCCATGACCTGTATACTTTGCAGCCTACTAGCTAAACCTGACCTAACTTAAACTAACCTAACCTAACCTAACCTGACCTAACCTAACCTAACCTAACCTAACCTAACCTAACCCAACCTAACCTAACCTAACCTAACCAAACCCAACCTAACCCAACCCAACCCAACCCAACCCAACGTAACCTGACCTAACCTAACGCAATTTGTGGTGAGTCAATTTTGAATCTAATGCATTTTGTTCGTTTTAAATCAAACTGTTATTAGACATAGATATGTAATCACTAAAGGTAAACTTAAACTATTTTCTTATGACATATTACAAAAAAAAAGAAATCAGCATTCTGACACATAACCTTCTCCAATAAGCTCCAATAGTTAAAAATCACAAAATTTGCAATTAGCTAAGAACATATTAATTTTCTTTTAAAATTTTTCTCCAAAAATCCGATATTTCAGTAATTTTTTTTTTTTTTTTTTAAATAACACAAGTTACAATAACTTTAAACCGTAATTTTTACGAAAATGGGTTTTGAAGCATTACTTTTTAAAGAATTTAAAGGACAATGACATAACTGAATTTTTAAGAGATTCGTTCGAGTCATTTTCGAGAAAATCCGATTTTCCGTTATTTTATGGGGGTTTTATTTAAAAATCCCCATTAAAAAATCAATATAAAAAAAAAAGAAAAAAACCCTTAACAATGTTTAGGGTCATAACGTACTAAGTTAAATCGAAACCGGCTTATTTTCTAAAATACTATTATTATTATTTTTTCTTTTTTTTTCGATGGGGCTTTATGGGGAAATAACATAATTTACAATAACTTTAGGACCGTGGTTTTTACACAAAAGGGAGTCGTACCATTTTTGTACATAGCTTAAAGGGCTAAAACATACTAAATGTTATATCAAAATCGTTCGTGCCATTTTTTAGAAAATCCTATTTTTCAGTTCTTAAATTTTTGACGAAAACAATACTTTATCCATATAGAACATACGTACAGTACAACGGTTTAGTATGGACAGGTTTTAAAAATCCAAAGATGTTATTATGTGAAAAAAAAATTGTTATTTTCGACTTTCTCTTTTTATTTCGAACGAAAAAGGATGAATCCTAATAGGAGAAGTATGATAATTCCAATTGAATGTACGCCTTTATCACTTTGCTCTTCGTTATCATTATAGAGTCCTTGGTGTCTTAAATCTTCAACAAGAGTGTTAAGATACGCTCGTTTGGTTGTATTTCTTAAGAATATTGTATTTTAATTAACACACCTGAATTCAATTAACTTGCAAATGACGAAGGTTAATCATGTCAACATCTGAACGATGAACGGTAAACCAACGGAGTAGGTAAGAATGTGAACGTTATAGCTAGTGTAAAAAACGACCGAATGAGTGGTGGCCTTTATAAAGGCCGTTTTTTGCGCTCGACGACGAGGTTCCAGCTTACGCTTTCTTCTCTGTCTTCTTGGGCAGCAGGACTGCCTGGATGTTAGGCAGTACTCCGCCCTGAGCGATGGTGACACCGCTGAGCAGCTTGTTGAGCTCTTCGTCGTTACGGATTGCCAGCTGGAGGTGACGAGGGATGATTCTGGTCTTCTTGTTGTCACGGGCAGCGTTGCCGGCCAACTCGAGAACTTCGGCAGCGAGATACTCCATGACGGCGGCCAAGTAGACGGGAGCGCCGGCACCGACTCGCTCGGCGTAGTTGCCCTTGCGCAACAGACGGTGGATACGACCGACAGGGAACTGGAGTCCCGCTCTGGAAGACCTGGACTTTGCCTTCCCCTTCACTTTGCCTCCCTTACCGCGTCCGGACATGATGCTTTTTGATTAGAGTAGATTCTCTGGGCAGGAACCGTGATTCGACGACGACGAGGTTGTGACTGTGGTAGATTGGTCTCCCACTTCTAGAGGAGCTTCGACTTCTTGTAAGTCATGGCTTCTGGACGGATAAGGGCCTTCTGCCCTGGTAGCTCAGCTACCTGTCAATATCGGTGGTTGTGGTGGTGGCTCAGTCAGCCATCTGGGGACGGAGTCTGGGGACTGGCTGTTGCAGCATATCCCTGATGTGCTGCCATGGGGTGGACTCTTCGATGTTCTCCATCTTCGCAGTCAGGACATCGACGTACTCCCGGATGGTGGGCGTCCCGGTAGATCTCCGGACGATCTCGCTGCGGACGTACCTAGGTGTGCCGGTGGCTTTTCGGAGGGCTCTGGCTTGCAATGCCAGGAGTTGTCTGCGAGACGACCTGCAGACTAGATGATACCACGCCGGAGCTGCGTACGTGAGCACCGGACGTAGTAGGGCAGTGTAGAGGTGCAGCTTCATCTTGGTCGGCAGGCGTCTTGCCCTGAACAGAGGGCCGAGGCTACCGATGGCACTGGCAGCGAGTGTCCGGAGTCTGGTGACGTTTGGAGTCATCGTCAGGCGCTGGTCGAGGAGTACCCCCAGGTACTTCACCACCTTCTTCCAAGGGACTGGGCGGCGGTCGATGGTGAGTTGGTGTCCGTCTGCCTGCCGTCTGGTTTTGGTGAAGGAGATCGCCTCGCACTTGTCCGCGTTGACTTTGATCCTCCACTTGTTGAGCCAGGGTTGAAGGAGATCCAGCTGCCGCTGGATGTAGATCCGTGACATCCGCAGGTTGGCAGACGTGGCGGTGAACAGGGCATCATCCGCGTAGAGTGACAGCTGGACTCTGGGGGCTAGTGGCATGTCATTCGTGTACCACAGGTACAGGATCGGTCCAAGAACTGATCCCTGTGGCACACCGGACGAGATGGGTCTGGAAGTGGAGGACTTCTGGTCGACTCGGACACGGAAGCTACGGAGGTGGAGGTAGCTTCTTAGCAGTTTCCAGAGGTGGCCTGGTAGTGGTGAGGAGGCGAGTTTGTAGAGGAGACCCTCGTGCCAGACTCGATCGAAGGCCTTGCTGACGTCGATCAGGACGGAAGTGGCGTGGTGCTTATTCTGCAGGGCACTGGCGATGGTGTTGATCACTCGACGGAGTTGGAGGGTCGTCGAGTGTCCTTGCCGGAAGCCGTACTGTTCCGTCCTGATGGAGCAGAAGAACTCTTCTGGGAATCTGGCCAGGATTACCCTCTCGAGCATCTTGGAGAAAACGGGAAGTAGAGATATTGGGCGGTGATTTTCCGGGAAGAGTGGATCTTTCCCCGGCTTGGGGATCAGGATCACCGTAGCCATCTTCCAGGTGGTTGGGAAGTAGGAGAGTCGGAGGCAAGAACTCATGACCGCGGCGATGAAAGTGATCACCCAAGCTGGCAGGTGCTTCATGGCCGGGGTTCCCAGGGAGTCCGGTCCAGGGGCCTTGCGGGGACGTAGCGCCTTGATGAGCCCGGAGATCTCCTGCTCTGTCACCGGTGTCACTTCCTCCTCATCGTCTGGGTCGTATGTCTCCAGGAAGTCTTCCACCACCTCGCAGTGGTCGTCATCGTAGACGTCCGCATGGGGCGAGAATTGGTCCTCCATGGTGTCGGCAAAGGCTTCCGCCTTGTCTTCAGGTGAGTAGACTATGCCTCTCTGGCCGTGGAGTGGGCGGATGGACTTCTTCTCACCCCGGAGAGATCTGGCAACCTGCCAGACACCGTGCGGCTTCTCCGCGCAGGACTCGATGAAGTCTTCCCACGAGGTGGTCCGATGTTCTGCGAGGAGTCGGGAACAGAGTCTGGCTTGGCGTTGGAACTCCGCCTTTGCTCTCGGGCAGCGGGAACGCTGGTAGCTCCTGCGGAGTCTACGTCGATGGTGAATCTCCGCCAGCAGTTCTGGTGGCAGGGGCTTCTGACGACTGGGGACAGTGGAGGAGGCCGATGATGCTGCGATGGCGTCCTGGAGGAGAGTTGTCAAGTCCTGAACTTGGCTATCCAGCTGCTCAGTGGTCTCCGCCGGAGGTGGTGGTGGGCGGGGTCGGTCTGCCAGGAAGTTGCCGTACCTCTTCCAGTTGACCTTTGTGGAGTTTCTCGGTGGAAGTTGTGGAGCTCCATCTTCTGGGAGATCGAAGACAACTGGAAGGTGATCCGAGGAGAGATCGGAGATGACAAAGACCTCTGCGGGCAGGTCGAAGCAGCTGGCTAGTCCGATGTCTAGAATGTCAGGGAGGTTGCCTCGTCTCGGGAAGTGTGTAGGCTCTCCTGGGGCCAGGAGCTGGACGTGCTGGTGGGCCTCGAGGTAGGTCTTGAGGCGACGGCCGGGGGTGTTGGACAAGCGGCATCCCCAGTCTTGATGCTTGGCGTTCAGGTCACCAATCACCAGGGCGGGCTTGTCTGGGCCCAGCAGGGCGTCGAGGTGTACTGGCTGCAGTGTCTTCCCAGGCTGGTTGTAGACAGAGGAGATGGAGAGCTCTGCGCCGCCGTACTGTACTGCAACCGTGGTCAGCTCGAGTCCTGGTGGTAGGTTCATCGGGACGTGTCGATGGGCCAGTCTTCGGTGGACAAAGATGGCGGTCCCTCCGCTGGCAGGACCTTGAGTCAGCCTGTCAGATCGATAGCCCTGGTAGTTGGGGAGGTTGAACACCAGGCCCTGACGAAGGTGCGTCTCCTGGACCAGAGCGATGTCGACATCGAGCTCTTGCAGAAGCTGGATGAGTTCCTGCTTCTTGTTGGCCACCCCGTCGGCGTTCCACGTCACCAGGCGCAGCTTACCCATGGTGTTGTTGGGTAAGCGCCTCCACCAAGCGGGTCACAGTCAACAGCATACTCTGCAGTGTGGTCAACAGCTGAGCTATCTCAGCGAGGTGTGGATGTTGAACAGGGCCACACGGTTGCTGGGCAGGGCAGCTGGGCTCAGCAGCAGGGCTGCAGGACTGCTGGGCAGGGCCGCTTGGCTGCTGGGCAGGGCTGCTGGGCTGCTGGGCAGGGCCGCTTGGCTGCTGGGCAGGGCGGCTGGGCTGCTGGGCAGGGCTGCTTGTCTCCGTGGTAGGTGTACACTGCCGCTTGGGGACGTCCAACTTGAGGCGGGGAGTGTTTCTCTGTCTGGGTGAAGATGTCTGGTCCGGGGTATGGCTCCTAGAGGCAGGAGGGCTAAGTCTCCCTCGGTTGGCCGCATTCCTAGGTTGTCTGCGGCGACGACCTCTCGCTTGGGTGTAGCCGTCATCGTCTGAGCTCGGCTGGTCTGCTTCGTCAGAGGTTTGGTCAGGCGGGCTGGCTGTAGAGTCTGTAGCTGGCTTCTGCGTCGGGGCGACTGAGGCTGGCTTCCGGGCTGGAGTTCTAGCGGCTGCTGCAGCGTAGCTCAGCTGTCTCTCTTTCTTGAAGGCAGTGCAGCCTCTGTAGTTGGCAGTGTGGCTGCCTCCGCAGTTGCAGCACTTGGCAGGTTCAGTGGAGGCTTTGAGGCATAGAGTCCCTGTGTGGGTATCCGCACATCGGACGCAGCACGGCTCCCGATGACAGTTGGCCGAGCCGTGGCCGAAGCCCTGGCATCTGTGACACTGGATAGGCCCCCTAGTCCTGGTGTACCTCCTGACTTCTACCTTGCAATAAAGCATTCTATCGAGGTTGTACACTTCACTGGGCAGGAACCGTGATTCGGACCGTATTACGGGTTTCCAACGTCAAAGCACGTTTTCTCTAACATAGTCCAACCGAACAGGTTTTTAGCTACCCAGGCAGTTGTTTGGCTACGGATTTAGGCTCGTGTTTCACAATTGTGGGAAATTTTTAAAGTTTGCCGGTCACCACCACCGAGCGGTTTCGAAAATGCCTCCCAAAGCTATCGGTAAAGCTGTCAAGAAGGCCGGCAAGGCCCAGAAGAACATCACCAAGGGTGACAAGAAGAAGAAGCGCAGGAGGAAGGAGTCGTACGCAATCTACATCTACAAGGTGCTCAAGCAGGTCCACCCCGACACCGGTGTTTCCAGCAAGGCTATGTCGATCATGAACAGCTTCGTGAACGACATTTTCGAGCGCATCGCCGCCGAGGCCTCCCGTCTGGCTCACTACAACAAGCGTTCCACCATCACTTCTCGGGAGATCCAGACCGCCGTCCGTCTCCTTCTGCCCGGTGAGTTGGCCAAGCACGCTGTCAGCGAGGGTACCAAGGCTGTGACCAAGTACACAAGCTCCAAGTAAGCGTCCCCAACGCTTCAGCGTCGCCCGACTCCTCGTCGCCGAGCGCCACAAAACGGCCTTTATAAAGGCCACCAATAAACTCATTCGTTTTACACGTTAGCAGACCCTCACTTACTAGATACGTATAAGTCCGCACGTGTTTTCCTATCCTGTGCGCAGCCGTTAACTTACATCCAAACGCAATTCACCACTGGTTATTACAATGCTTAGCATAGTTAATTAAGACTTTGTCTTCGTAATTGTATAACAATGGTCAAGAGTGTTACATGTCACGAGTCGAGAGTATTCCTTTACTCGAGTCAACTCAACACTGTGAGATGTTAAAGTTTTAAGAATATTCTAAATCTGACGTGAGTCGGTTAATTATTATGGTAGATAAGGTCTCGATATTATAACCAATGTACCTAAAAAAAAAGAAAAAAGAAAAAATACACGAACAGTTAAATAAAATAAGCTCAGAATGGATTTTTTTTTTTTTTTTTTTTTTTTTTTTTTTTTTTTATAGGTAGGTGGAATGCGTTACGCACTTCCCGATACGTTGAGCGCTCCTCCTGGAGCGCCCGACGTGCCGGGGGAGTGTGGGACTCCTACGGGTGTCACCGTAGTTTACCCACTAAACCACCTACCCCCTCCCTGTCCTTGCTCCCGGGAGGGCGGTCGCAGCGTAGCAGGCTGGTGCTGTGCTGCTTGAAGATCTTGCTGGGGTTGTCATCTCTAGAAGGGGTCTCTCAGGTGGGGCGGCGGGTGACGCGTCGTTCACCGCTGGTTCTGGGGGCTGGCTTCTCGAAGTACTCTCCTTCGTAGCTCAACCGAGGGTGGCCGCTCGTCGTGGGTCGTCTCTACGGCGGGTCGTCCAGGATGGCGACGGGCCGAGGTCTCCGGTCCTCTGCGATGTCGTGGCGGCTGCAGAGTTCCCTGATGTGGTCGAACGTCGACTCCGCAGCCTTCTGGAAGAGCTTCGCTGTCTTCGCCTTGGTGAAGTCCTCCAGCGTTGGAACTCCAGCCGACGCTCTGATGGTGGTGTTCCTGACGAACCAGGGCTGGCGGGTGATCCGGCGCAGTGTCTTCGACTGGACGGCTTCCAGTCTCCTCCTGTTGGTCCTGCTGGCGAGGGCCCACCAGGCCTCCGAAGCGTACATCATGCAGGAGCGTGCGATGAGAAGAAACACGGTGATCTTCGTCTTCAGCGTCAGAGGGCTTCTCTTGTTGAGGAGTGGCCACAGCAGTCCGAGAATGCCGGTAGCCTCAGCGACCTTCCTGTCCACATGATGCCGGAAGCGAAGCTTCGAGTCCAACGTGACGCCCAGGTACTTGACCGTAGGTCTCCACGGGATCGGCGTTGCGTCCAGCATCACTGCGGCAGGTTGGCCACGTCGTCTATTCCGGCGCTTCCCGAAGTAGATGGCGGTGCTCTTGGCGGCGTTCACCTTGATGCGCCACTTCTCAAGCCATGGGGACAGGACATCCATCTGTCTCTGCATGACTCTGGAGGCTTGGTCAAGGCGGAAGCTCCTGCATGTCAGTAGCGCGTCATCGGCGTAGAGGGACAGCGTTACACCTGGAACAGTAGGCAAGTCATTAGTATATACTAAGTACAATACCGGGCCCAAGACGCTGCCCTGAGGGACACCAGCTCGGACCGGCCTAACCGTGGAGAGACGTCCCTCGACGCTCGTCTGGAAGAACCGGTTCTCGAGGTAGGAGCGGAGCAGGTGGATTGCGGAGTCTGGGAGTCCAGTGTCCGAGAGCTTGAAGAGGAGGCCCTCGTGCCACACCTTGTCGAAGGCCTTGCTGACGTCCAGGAGAACTGCAGTGGTGCACAGGTCGAGGTTGTAGTTGTCCACCAGCGTGTTCATCACCCGGATCAGCTGTTGAGTGGTCGAGTGCCCCCGGCGGAAGCCAAACTGCTCTGGTCTGGTGGATCCCTGGAGAGCGTCTGAGAGTCGAGTGAGGAGAAGTCTCTCGAACATCTTGGAGACGATCGGGAGCAGGGAGATGGGGCGGTGGTTCTCGGGGATGAGATGGTCTTTGCCGGGTTTCGGGATCATGATGACCTTTGCAGATTTCCAGCAGGCCGGGAAGTGGCATAACCTGAGAACAGAATTAAACAGGATTAGAAGGTGCGTAGCAAAGATGTTTTGGGCAGTTTGCAGTGCCTTACCACCAATCCTGTCTAGTCCGGGAGCCTTTTTGGGTTTCAAGGATCGGATCGCCGCCTTCACTTCTGCCTCCGTGAAGGGCTCGATGCTGTCCTCTGGTGGCTCGTGGAAGAAGTCCTCCATGAAGTGCTCCACCCGGATGTCGGTCTGTGGGTCGTTGATGTTGTTTGTCTGGAACTGGGCTTCCATCGAGTCGGCGAACGCTTCTGCCCTGGCGTCAGCTGTGTGTACCAGGCCAAGTCGGCCCAGGAGTGGGTGCACCGCAGTCTTGACGCCCCGGAGCTGTTTCGCCGCCCTCCAGACGCTGCCTCCCTCGACGTTCAGCGTGGAAAGGTAGTCGTCCCAGGTCTCCGTCCTGAAGTCGTCGACCATCTGCTTGACGACTCGGTTCTGTCGGTTGAGCTGCCGTCGTGCCTCCGGGTGTCGTGTGTTTCTCCACTGGACTCGAAGTCTGTTTCTCCTCCTGATGTGCTCACGAATGCGGTGGGGAAGGCCTGAGTGATGCTGTCTAGGAGGAACAGGAACAGACGAGTCTGAAACAGCGGAAACAAGGGATGAGTGAAAACTGTCAGTGAATTCGTCAAGTTCAGCTGCGTTGGTGGGTTCCCTTGGGGCCTCCAGTCGGTCCTCAACCAGCTGTTTGAACTTCTCCCAGTCCGTCCTCATTGCCGCCGTCCTGAGTGGGAGGGCCCGTGTCGGCGTCGTGTCGACGAGCAGGAGAACTGGTAGGTGGTCGGAAGACAGGAGTAGGATACGCTGTACTTCAGGCCACCAATCAGAGAGCAGCATTTCATCCCCACCCCTCCCCCTAGGCCACGCCCCCTTTTGTCCCACGTGGTCGCCCTCTGGTGTCCCACGTGGTCTAACCTCACTTTTGTTTTCGCGCCAAACATCTAACCTCACTTTACGTATTGCATACGTAGGTTCCCGCCAAACGAAAAAAAACTTCACCTTCCCGCCAAGTAACATAACCTCACTTTCGCGCCAAACGAAAAAAATCACCTTCCCGCCAAGTAACATAACCTCACTTTTGCGCCAAACGAAAAAAATCACCTTCCCGCCAAGTGGCATAACCTCACTTTCGCGCCAATTCCCGTTAAGTAACATAACCTCACTTTTGCGCCAAACAAAAAAACCTCACCTTCTCGCCAAACGAAAAAACTTCCCTCCATGTCCCTAGCAAATAGTATATAGAAAACTTGTTGTGCACCCTTTAGGACAGGGTTTGGGACTGTCCGAGTGTCTGAAGGACACCCCCAGGTTCAGGTATTATATCGTATCGTACTTGTATCCAGAGGAACTGGCTTAGTATTATACCATATAATACCCCCCTCCCTTATTTTGAGGGTGCACTTGGAATTGAAAACGCAGTTATAATGTTACAAATATTTATTCTATAAGACACATTACTAATTTATAAAGAATTGAGTGAAGTGTTAAAACTACTGAGCACTACTACTACTACTGAACTACATGCTAAAAACTAATGTTTATAAATAAGCACATTTGGGGAATTCCCCACCATCCCCGTACATTTAACACTATATAATTTAGAGTTTGTGAAAAATTCTAGGTCCTCGTCTGTGAGGAGGCTGGTGAACCTCGAGGGTAAAAATGTCACCCTCTCCTCGCCGGCAGATGTGGTGATGTGTAGTACAATCACCATGGTTCCAAATCTCGTGTTGATTCGTCTAGCAGATTGAATTTTCGCCGGCTCGGTCAGATCTTTGATGGGGACTTTCAAAGGGGAAGAGAGCACCTCGCAAGACGACAGCTTTGTAGAAAGATCCATCTAAAACCATATAATATTGTCGTAATAATATTGTCTGGATAGCCGAGTGGTTATAGTGTTTGCCTTCAAATCTGGAGGTTGCTGGTTCGATCCCTAGTCGATCCCTAAAAACTATGGGAACTATGTAAATATGATAGCAAAGAGGACCCATGCTGTTATTTTTATACTACAAGCTACATTAGTAAACTACAGCAGCGATATTTACCTTGTTGTAGGGGATGTGGAGAGTGTCTACCCCTCGGCAGATGCCTCTGGTTTTATACCGGGGTAGTGGGGAGCGCAAGGGCGGGGCTTAGAAAAATAATTCTTTCCTGCCGAGGACGGCCTTTCTACAGAATGGACACCTAACAATACGATTAGCACAATTTTTACAAAGAGTGTGCCAGCAAGTCATTAATACTATAGTCGGTAGATTTTCAAAACAAATACGACAACTGATTGTTCCTGCAGAGGGTAACTCTTCATTAGAACTGGTATCGCTATCGATATCTCTGGTTCTGTTTATTCGCTCTCCAGTGGAAACTAGTATTGCTTCCAACGAGTCGCGGATGTCTTCCCAAATTGCGGGGGCTATATGGATCATTTCTGGGACATTTGTATCCTCCATAAAGTGGTTAGTTAGCCATAGTGTGTCCTGCAATTCCACTCTGACAGTCTGTACTACTGTCAAGATGTCAATTAGATCGTAACCTTCCGGTCGGCTACCACTCCATCTTTGTAAAAAGTCGGCCAGCCTAAACTCTCGAATTTGTTGACGATCGGCTTCAACTTGGCATGATACACACCGAGCAGCAGACCGTCGCATCTGGAAACATAGGTAAGTGTTTATTGTATGCCTAAATGTATACTTATATGTATTTCCCCCAATCCCGATCTCCTTACCCTAGTTCTTCCTGTTGAGGTTGATGGTTCAGGGTGAGCTCGCATCCATTGTGGAAGGACTCTTGGCACCCCTAAAGATGTTGATGGTTGGGGTTCTTGAGATCTTTGTACAGGGGTCAATGTAGTGTAGACTGGTGGAGGCTGGTCCAAGCTCACGCGTGAATTATTAGCCGCATCCTCGGCTTCCACAAGAGCTCTGTCAATCGGAGATGTACGGTCTTCAGCCATCTAAATAATAACATAGACATGTTGTAAATGCAGCTTAAATGGTGGATAAAAGTTTAACAAAAATCATACAAATAAACCCACCGCTTGGATAACGGATGTAGCTCGCTCGTCACTTAAAAAGGTTGTACTTGTTAAAATATAATTTCTGTCTCTTGTTCTAGGAGGGGATTCTTCCTGAAAAGAAACTCAAATCAGTTTACATTTTAATGTGTGTTTTGTTTAGTACTTTATGTTACTAGTACTTACTCTTGGACGTTTTTCTGGAGCAGCGTCAGAAGAGGACACTAGCATCAGTAGGAAAACACACACGTTGACAGGAGCCATGGCTTTGAGAAGCTTGCACGTGTTTTGTGCTTAAATAGGCACCCTTGTTCTAAATATAAAATCACAAGGGGAGATCCCCCCTTTAGGTACTTTTGACAGGAGGGAGAGAACCCTCCAGGTACTTCCGCCGCGTGGACTATGGAGTACGGACAGTGTTTAGTGAAATTCTGGTACTATCCGATATTCAATAGATTCATTTGCTGCAGAGTGTGTAATTCATTTTTGATTGATGGTGCTGATGAAGAATGTGGTTGGTTCGTTACAAATATCTGTGATTTGGACTTTGACAAACTCAAATGTTTTGTTTGTGGAGAGATTCTACCTGTTCTTTGGAGTTTAGACAAGTGACCCAGTTTCCACACCACGGTAAGCTGTTAGGCTAGGCCGTAGGGTCCCAGCGCGTTCTTTTTGTTAACCCAGAGCTTCACCAAGAGTCCTAACCTCTGGGGTAGGCTGCCCCAACCATCGCAGCCTACGGTGATGGCCACTCCATAACTGATTTGCCACCTCCCAATTTTTGGTCCTTTGACAAATGTAAAGGGTTATTTACTCGGTGAAGCCTTTCAATTAACCCTTTTTGCCACTGACAAAGGATATTTTACTTTTATATGTTTTTTTTTGTCTCTGTCAACCTGTTCATTTTAAAAGTCATCAGGCCATTTACTAGGCGAACCGTTCATTTTAGCCTACGACATTTTATTTACTAAGAATGACAGAGATTTTTTTAATTTTTTGTTATTTTTTTGTCAGATTATAGTCCGAGGTGAGAGGGAAATTAGGTGACATGGAGGATAACGCAATGTTTTACGATTTTTAGGCCAACCTCCGTACCAGCCCCTGGACTTATGGGTTTTAAGCCTGCCTGTTGGGCGAGTACACATACTCACACACACACACACTCACACATAGGGAGGATAACGCAATGTTTTACGATTTTTAGGCCAACCTCCGTACCAGCCCCTGGACTTATGGGTTTTAAGCCTGCCTGTTGGGCGAGTACACATACTCACACACACACACACTCACACATAGGGAGGATAACGCAATGTTTTACGATTTTTAGGCCAACCTCCGTACCAGCCCCTGGACTTATGGGTTTTAAACCTGCCTGTTGGGCGAGTACACATACTCACATACACACAAGGAAACACCTCGAACTATAATCCGTTTTTTAATAAGGAACATCTCTATCCATGTACATTAAATGATTATCTACAAAATTACTACTTACATCTTGATATAAGACTACATTATCCCAATCTACTTTATTTGCAAAGTCGTGGATAAAAGATTCCGACAACTTTTGATATTTACATACAATACTCCAACATCCGTCAAAGTTTACAGCCATTTCCCGAAGAAAGTATTCGGGGAATTTCTGGCGCTTTAAAATTGGAGCCCAGTTCACTCTGTGAAAGTATATTCTGAGCATTTCAATGGAAAAATCATAATGGGACGATAAAATTTCCCAATCTAAAAATCTACTAAATTTCATGACAAATTTGTCTGTTAGAACCCCGTGGGGCTCTTTGCTCTCCTGAGACAACAGTGACCAGGCGTTCTCCATCTCCAAGCTCATACTGACCGGTTTCATGGAGGGAAAGGTTTAAGTAGTACTGTAGAGTGTAGGCTGCGCTGAAAGCGCACCTTTTATGGTCACCGGTGACACAGCTTATTCCTGGTAGGCAGAAATTGTAAATGGGCGGGCCAGAGATTTCCCGTACGTTGGGATGAAACCCTCGCAAAAACTCTGCCTTTTCCCTACCTTTTGTGTAAATAATTTTAAAAGGAATGCAAAGTGCTGTAATTAAACCTTCATTGTATGGTACAGACCCTTCATTCCAACGGATACCGTGATGCCGAGTTAACCAGCGAGCGGTTCTTTGCATTTTATCATTTAAATTTGTGATACTATAAGGTGGTTTGAAAATAATTTGGCAGTTCAAAGAGCCGCCGACAACGGCCAACTCTTTAATTATAAATTTGTTATCATTATCTGTGAAGGCTTGAAACTCAACTACTGCAAACGCCATTTGGCCACCTTTTGTACAGTGATATCTCGTTAAACAAACGTTCGGCTATTAAAGTAGGCAACTGATCTGTACACTCGTTCACACCGGAAAGGACTTGATTGATACACTCTTTGATTAAATCGTCCCGGTAAAAAAGCTCCCTAAGTGAAATGTAAATTAGAGGGAGGTTATTAATAAACATGCACCATTCATTCTGGTTGAGAGTTATAGAGTGCTCGCCGTCAGAGACGTAAGCATACTGATGCCCAAAGACCATGTTTACCCTAATATCCTCCCCCGTATCTACTTTGAACGAGTATTGGTTCTTACCCTCGAGTGCAAGGGTGACGTCATTAAAGTGAGTTGCGAGCTGACAAAATGCATCGTATGACCAATAAACACAACCTTTTCTGCCTTTAAATAATATTCCGAGCCCTCTATTTAGAAAAATCCCCGTCACGACACATTTTGTTAGGTCATTATCCAAATGATAGTCTGATTTCAAGAAAACCCCGGTTAGTAAATTTATAGGTTCTTTGCTCTTGGGAATGAGCATCGGCTCTATACTTACATCCGCTCCCTGCGACGTCATCGCTCATACTAAGTTTTCTTTAAACGGTTACTTTATTAACAGTACCTGTCAGTAATGAATATGTCATGTGAGTATCATGTAAAAGTAAACAGTACGCGGACGTATTTGCTGTAAAGGCTGTACTGGACTCAAACTCTACTCGCACATCAATAGGGCCTGATTTTATGGAATCATTTTGCTTTGAACAATCAATAACGTACAGGGGTGCTTTGTCTTTGTATTTTTCCTTGTCCACTGCTGGATAGCTTTGTTTCCCGTAGTACGAAGAATGGAAACGGAAAAACATTTCATAGAAGATAGACCAATCACCGTGAATGTTATCATATGGATAGTACTGCGAATTTAAATAAACTTTAATATTTTTTAGATCGCAAGCATCAAAACATGACATGTCCTTTTTTATGTCATTTTTGCGACTAGTCTGAAATCCTACTATTACGTAACGGGGTTTTTCAAGCTGACTGGAGGTCTTTACAGTCCACGATTGTAAAGTGGTCTGTGGTACTGATGGATACTCGTGCAGTTCCCACGATCTAAACGGTAAATGTACCTTTGTATCTTTTTCAATCATCTTTAGTAGTTTCAAACGGTAAGGATCAGATACGGTAACGTGTGGCACCCTCCAGTATACTCCTGTAATTTCCAAAACTACTTCAGCAGCATTTGTACTGTGTACTGCGTTTAAATCGGTCGATGACCGCAAAAGAATCAATTCTTGTCTGACATTAGCAATTACACGCTTATAGTCCTCGGCAAACCCTAGCAACATGTGCAAAGGAACACTGAATGAAAACTCTGTAATTTTCTCCGTTTTCCCAGAACCTAACCAACAAGCGTTTTTTAAACTTTCCAGTTCACCCTGTTGTACCGATAACAGGTTTTTAATGGTGGTTGTTATACCTACATTTTTTATTCGATCGACCTCGACACCCCCGATTTCATATCTAATATCGTCAAAAAGAAACGCCACAGCATTATTGACAAAATGAACTTCTGCAGCAGTTCCATCCTGTTTCTTTCCGCTAACTCTGCCCATGATATGGAGAGTACTGTCAAACGGTGCAGTTATTATGTCCTGTTGACTGATTGGTATACGTATTTCATCGTTATTCTTAAAGGTCGATGAAGCGTACGGTTTATGAGTGTGAAACTCAATACCTGTGATTACATCACTGTACTCTGCTTTATTTTCTATGTCCAGCATTTTGAACTTTAAATCCTAATGAACGCAAAAACTTTGTGTTGGTTGATGTTAACCGTACAGTGTCTTGACGCTTACTGATGGGTAAAGATTTTGTGACCTCCCTAAATACCAAACCCATTTTTCCTCCTTATATGCAGCCTGATGGATATATTTTCGTTTCTCAAGTTGATTCTCTCACCGTTTTGATCTTTGAGAGTGATTGTAACGTTGTTTATCCTCTTGACGTTCACAGGCAAATAAATGATTGTGTTGGGTACCTCCACTATTTTATAGCCCGGACCCACGTTTGGGTAGAACTCGTGTATGACATGGCCCTCAGCTCCATTGTCATACGAACCTCGAACTATATTACACTCTACGCGTATTACGTTTACATTAATGATGCTTACTGTTCGGTCGGAAGCGTGTTTTTCACCTGCTTTCAAAATTTTACTATCAAAACCCAGTAGAGGAGCAAGCGTGTTACTTTGTGTAAAATCAATAGCTTGGCTACACTTTATTTCCGATTTTAGCGTATTGTTATTTGCTTTCAATTCCAATTCCACATCCTTCCCTACTTTTTCTTTTAGAGCTGTTTCTAAATCTTCAATCTCATATGCCCCTTCAGCTATTTCAATCATTTTACCATCGCCGTAATAAAATTTGTTATTTTTACCCGCTTCAATATTTGGGATCGAGTGAAACGTCATCAAGTCTATAAGGCCAATCTCCCATTCTCCTTCACTAACGTCAACAGGTGGGAAGTAATCTTTTGAAACATAGGAACCCCTTCCACTCAAGCTAAACATTGTCGAGAAACTGTAAGCACAAGTGTCCGCATACAACTGAATTGAAATTTTGCTTCCGCTCGTAGTTATAGTAAATGTCGCAGCTACCAAAATACTGTAAAAGTTCACGTGGTGGCTTGAGATTACCAAAACTATCGAAATAGTACACGAT